ATGTGATGAGCGACCTTAAGGCCTGAAGAAGTCAATGTATTGTCAAAATGTCATCCTGATGTGGAACGGAAGAAAGAATAAGAGCGAGATCGCAACATGGAGGTGTTATTTTTGCTCCTTTGTGCAGAATAATACCCGAGCGCTTTCAAAGAATTTCTGATGTTTTTGTGTCTCCTGATGATTGCCTCACAAAAGTAGGAAAAGGCGATTCAGTTGAAGGCTGATAAAGTTACAGAAGGTTGCATGAAAAAGGAAAATTATTGCCTCGGTTTTGTTTAAAAATCCGTCTCTGTCCAGGTTAAACTGTTTGCAAACTAATTCTGCTGTTTCATAGAAATGCTCCTCTGCATCAGACGACTGCAGAGAATATCTGGCTTCCATTCACCTGCCCGGTCGTTGTCCTTGAATGCAGATTATTAAAAACAGAAAATCAGATAATTCAGAGATGGTTTTCTGAGACTCGTTAAACTGCTCACAAAGGAAACAGTCTGCAAATGGAAACAAAAAAAAGCATCCAAAAACCGTGTTTTTGCAAATAGATTCTGAATATTGACCAAATGCATAATGATTAGCAAGTGATCAAAATACATGAGCTGCTTGAACAGGATCCAAACACCCTGAGTATACAAATCATAAGCAGACCGTCTAAGCCCCCCTGGGAATAACAGGGGCTGCTGCACTGCACAAGTTAAAAAGATTTTTGTTTATGGTTTAGAAAAAGAAGTCCCTCCAGGTAATTGTGTTTATGCTGCTGCAAACAAAGCACCGGCCACCTGAGCAACAGAGATGTGGCCGCAGCAGACATGTTCAGAAAGGCTTATTAACCTCTGCAGATGTTCCAGTTTTATCAGCGGTGCTCTCAAGTGCTGCTAACGAGGCAGAAGAGGAACTAGTTCCCAATCCAGGTGAACTTAATAAGAAGATAGCTTCACACAGTCATTAATGTCGTACCAGTAACTGCTTTGGATGAGGGCGAGACAGTGGGAACCAGTTTCTTTTAGAAGCAACAGATGATGACACATTTATCCGCAGACATGAAGGAAGAACTGTCGCACAGCCTCTTGTCATTGACATGTTTTGGGCAGCTTAGCTGTCGCTTTTTAAGTTATCTTGAATTAATCTGATTGTCTGCTCAGATCCCTCAGAAATGTTTGACCACCTTGCGTGGTCTCCCTCTTTTATCAGACAATTCTCATCGTTACTTTTGTGCTGTGGGTGATTATCTTCATTTCTTTTGCACCTTAGTTTATCAAGGACTCTTGGATATTGGATATAACACAAATTCTTGTCTTATGTGAAAAGAAAGTCTGATAGATACTCATTCCTTTGCTATTTTTAAGTGACCATATTCTGCTGACTCAGTTAGGCAACACAATGAGCAGCTGAGTTATTCTGCAGTTATATTTTTATCTATAGTGTGCCATGTTTTCAGTCACCTTAACGTTTTTTGCTGCCTGTGTTCCAGTTTCGCACATTTGACCCGTGTAAACAGCTGTGGTGCAGCCACCCAGACAACCCCTACTTCTGCAAAACCAAGAAAGGGCCACCTCTCGATGGGACCGAGTGTGCACCTGGAAAAGTGAGTTTGTCTATTAGACCTACATGCAATAAATCATGACCAACACTATAAGGGCACCGCCAGGAAAAAACCATCTCCTATCTCCACCATCCACCAGCCGGTGGATGGTGGAGATAGTTCGTGCAGCTTCTAGCTGCAAGGGAACGAGTGCTGTTTAAGCAGAGACTGTATGACATGGGCATTGTCTCCAGGTCTGAAAGGTGGAGCCAGTATAGAGGTGCCTTAAACGTGCAAAGTGCAAATAACTCAGACTGTATAGAAGTGTATGAAAAAATGACTCTACTTATCCTAAGGACACAGAGCCTCCTGGGACATGGAGTCTGAACAGCTCTGTGGTCCTGATGACTACAGGGTGGGCCATTTATACACCGTAATAAAATGGGAATGGTTGGTGATATTAAAGTCCTGTGATGAAACTAGGACAGCCACTGATGTTTCTTCATTAGTGACAGTTTTCTTGCGTCCACATTTTGGCAAATCCAACACTGAACCAGTTTCACGAACCTTAGCAAGCAGTTTGCTAACTGTAGCATGGGAGATGGGTGGAGTCGTAGGGTGTCTTGCATTGAAATCTGCTGCAATGACCCGGTTACTGCGTTCACCAGATATCAACACGATTTCGATCCGCTCCTCACGTGTTAACCTCTTCGACATGTCAATGGCTGTGAACAAAGAGAAACTTTTAAATAACTCATGAAAGAATAAAGTTACGTTGAAACCAAGCACACCATTGTTTTTCTTGTGACATTACCAATAAGTTTGATGTGTCACATGGCCCTCTTCCTATTGGAAAAACAAAAGTTGTATCCAAGATGGCCGACTTCTAAATGGCCACCATGGTCACCACCCATCTTGAGGAGTTTGCCCCCTCACATATACCAAATTGCCACAAACAGGACTTTAATATCACCAACCATCCCCATGTTATTACGGTGTATCTATATAAATGGCCCACCCTGTAGTTTCAGTACATGTACCAGTACGTGATAATGGACTATTTTTCAGTGTGCAAGGTAATCCAGTAGAATTAGGATTACTTCAACATTTAAAATATCTCTGATGATGTCATCACTTCACAGGACGAGCAACTGTGGTAACCACGGAAACCTTGACATTCCTGCCCACATCCTTCTGGCTAAAAAAAGTTTAGCATTTAGACAGGAGACCTTCTCTGCCGGCTTACTCTCCCCGTCTCTCTTTGCCTTCTCATCTCATCTAGTGGTGCTACAAAGGTCACTGCATGTGGAAAAACCCGAATCAGGTCAAGCAAGACGGTGCCTGGGGCTCCTGGGGCAAATATGGTTCCTGCTCACGCTCCTGTGGAACTGGAGTTCGATTCCGGACCCGTCAGTGCGCCAACCCTGCGTAAGTGGACAAGCATGGATTAGGTTCAGGGCGGCATCGAGAATAATAGAAACAGTAAAGTATTTGAACAATGATGTGACTTTTGTCCTGGCTGCCCCCATCCCGAGCCACGTTCTGCTGGAGGCTTCTTCCTGTTAAAAAGGAGTTTTTCCTTCCCACTGTCACCAAGTACTCAAAGGGGAGGGGTCATTTGATTGTTGGGGTTTTTCCTCTATACTTTGGTGCTTTTAATTTTATTTATTTGGTGCTATATAAATAAAATTGAACTTTCATAATCTTCCATTTAAATCACCGCTGTAGACAGTTAATTACTTTTTATTAAACACCTGAATTAAAGGTGAACATCTTCATTTCAGTTATATCCTGATTCTTTGATTGAGAATCCACTGTGGTGGGGTACAGAGATGAAATTAAGTGTCATTGTTCAAATATGATGCATGATTATCATATTTGCATAAGCATGAGTCTAACTGCAAAAGCTCGTTTGGATTGATGTACACCTTTAATGCTTATGAAACCCTAATGGATTAAAAGAGACGGTTTTACTTGGACCGTGGAATATTGTGCTTCATGCTGTCTTAATGAGACAAACTAACACTATCACTTGTGCTTTTGTGACAGACCTCCAGTATTTGTGAGTCGTGTCAGTCTTCTTTAAGTAGCTTCCTAAACCCAAAGGAACGCTCCTCTGGAGAAAATCACCTGCTCTCTTTTCAGCTGTCTCAGTGGTAAATTAAAGTCTGTATAAAGATAGGAAACAGGGGATGCACCGGTTTAGTCCTGAGGCAACCAAAACTCTGCCTGCCAGCTCATTAATTTATATATATGCTGTTTTTCAGGGTATTTTAACTGACAGATATGAAAGCAGCTTACAGCAGCGTTCTCCTGTCTCTTTGTAGGTTTTAGTCACAGGAAGTCAAAGCGTTGTGAAAATGACTTTATATAAAGTTTAACACTCGTGTAAGCGATCAGTTACCAGACTCTATGTTCAGCCTCATATCGCTTTGTAGAACTTCAAGTTTGGAAACCCTTTTGTATAAAATCATCAGTGTTATTCGTACGGCTTCTCCTTCTTAAATCCTTTTCAAAGGCAAGTATTTTTCATTTCAACAAAACTCAGGAGGCTTGATTTAAATAATCACCTCCTATTAAATGAATCATTGTAATGTAAATAGTATTACTGCCCTGAAATGACGCTGCACTTGCAAAGCAGCCGTAACAGCTCAGAATCATTTTTAGCCAAATGTGCGGGTGGATTTGTTTCCACTTTTCAAAGTTTATAAGAAGTCTTCGCTGTCTGATCGGCGCCTCTGATGTTCATCCATTTCGTTGCCCAGCCCGTCGAACGGCGGCCAGGACTGCCCGGGAGTAAACTACGAGTACCAGCTGTGCAACACAGACGACTGTCCCAGGCACTTTGAAGATTTCAGAGCTCAGCAGTGCCAGCTCCGCAACTCCCACTTTGAATTCCAAAATGCCAAACACCACTGGCTGCCCTACGAGCATCCTGATGGTAAGCCAGAAAAATGTCAACAGATTGTTTTGCTCAGGCCTGAGGCTGCGTTGCTGCTTCTTTTATGCCCCAAAAAGAAGAATGAAAGCAGACGAGGGCAGGAGATGTGAACTCAGACACAGCTGAAAGAAGCATAGTGAAGACAGGAATGCAGGCAGCCAATCACCACGCTGGACACACTCTTTGTGCAAAGGGGATGTTTGTGTTGTGTCCTCTGTCATATTTTTCTTTTGTATTCTCTCCGTCCTGCTTTTTCCCGTCCTTGTTTAGTTTTTTTAGTCTTCCATCTCTCTGCTGGGATGAACAGTTTAAACCCGTTCAACCTTCAAGCTTTCCGTCTTTGCAAAAGTAATGGATCATCTGTGCAATTACAAAACTCTGGGCAGGGCTTTGGAAAGTCAGTCATGTAGAGAATAAGTAGGAAGCACACTGAGAAAGTGCAGGAAGGTGAGAAATGAAAATCCGATCATGGCTTTCAGTGGAAG